CCCCGTCCCGTGTGTGCACAGAGCACTGTGGGCCTGTGTGTCTCCCTGCCCCCACGTGTGTGCACAGAGCACTGTGGGCCTGTGTGTGTGCCTCCCCGCCCCCACGTGTGTGCACAGAGCACTGTGGGCCTGGTGTGTGTGCCTCCCCACCCCCACGTGTGTGCGCAGAGCACTGTGGGCCTGTGTGTGTGTCTCCCTGCTCCCGCGTGTGTGCACAGAGCACTGTGGGCCTGGTGCGCGTGCCTCCCCGCCCCCACGTGTGTGCGCAGAGCACTGTGGGCCTGGTGCGCGTGCTTCCTCCCCGGCAGCCGCTCCCTAACATCACTGACAATCAAGAGCACATTTACACTTGGTTAGAGCACCCCAGAAAGAGCCTACTTTTATTTGCCAATTACACCGCCGTTGGCCAAGTCTCCTCCACTGATCAAGTCACCTTTTAAGGAGAAACACAGTAGGTGTGAATTAAATGCCCCCCGCCCCTAAAGCTCTCTCTCTCCAGGATTTTTGGCTGTGTTTTTTAGATTTTTGCTTGCACACTAGTGTGATGCTGGAGGACGTCATGGAGAAGGAGCTCGAACGCGCTCCCTGTGCCAGAACAGCAGACTAGAAGGCAGTCCATCTTCTCCCCAGGGCCCGTGCCGGCCGCCGGCGGGAACGACGCCGGCAGAAGGCCGCCAGCCACGCACGCCTCCTCCAAGAACACCGCATGCCTTGCACCCTGGGCTTCCCCACGCCACTCTCCTGAACGAAAAGAAAGGAAGATAATACAGGAGAATCAAAGCCAAAGAAAGGACGGCGACCGTGGGCAGGCCCTCTCGGGCGGGCGGAGAGGCGTTTCCAGTTGCGCCGTGCTCTTCCGGTGCCCCTGAGCACCTGGCCGCTGCAGGCTCCTCTTCAAGGGCCCCTGCGCGCCTCTCTCTGCCCCACGCCAGTCTCCTCACTTGAGCCGCTGAGTCACGTTGGCCAGGGCCACGGCGAAGGCCTGCACGGCCGAGAAGGGGTACTGGAAGTCCAGGATGTAGGCGTTGCCGTCAATCCTGCCGAACTGCATCACCTGGGGTGGGGGGCAAAGACGTCAGCCTAGAGCAGGGTGGGAAAGAGCCGAGCGGCTCCTGGTGGCAGCACACAGCACAGCTCAGGGACACCGGAGCCCGGCAAAGGGACGCTGACCCTGATGGGGTCTGGAGCTCGCTACTTCTGCAGGAAGGGGACACAGGGAGACAGTGAGCAAAACCCCAACATCACGGGGAAACAGAACGCAGAAAGGACCCCCAGGAAGCCGAGCGTCACTGCCTCCCACGGGGGCCTCCCTGGCGCCTCCGCCCCAGCGCGCTCCCCTCCTGCACACAGCTCTTCCTGCGGCACGTGGCACAGGCGAGGTCACAGCCGGGATGAACACGGATCGCCTGTGGTCTTTCTCTCCTCTTTGGAAGCCCTGCGAAGGTGGGGACGTCCTCCACTGCTCTTCCCACTTAGAGCAGGGGGCAAACCCCCTGCCAAGGGCGAACCACAGACGTTTCGGGCTATGGAGGGCAGCCCTCCACTCTGCGCTGGCAGGAGAAAGCAGCTGCAGGGGAGACGGCAGCACAGGGCGCCTGCGTCTCAGTACAACTTGCTACAGAGCAGCAGGCAGGAGCCGACTCTGGCTTAGAGCACTACATGGCTCACAGCAGGCACTCGGTAAGTACCTCTTGAGTGAATCACTGGGAACGCAAACTGAGGTAGGAGAGGTAAAGGGAATCCCAGCTGGCGAGGGAGGGAGGATGGGCGCACAGCCCCCCAGTCTGGAGAGCTGTCAGCCCGCCCATGTCAGCTGCACCAGGAGCAGGGGCACCTTCCCAGGGAAGAGAGAGACAAGCGAGAGAGCACACGCCATGTCAGGGGAAAACTGGACTGACCGAGCCCTGAGCAGGACGGCTCTGCCGCGAACGCTGCTCTGGTTCAGCAAGGCAGCCAGTGGCTACTACTGCGGCTAGGAAAGGGAGGGGAGGGAAAGTTCACCTGTGCATGGCGGGGGGACAGGGACAAAGAAACCCTCACGTTCCTTGGGGAGGAGTCAACACGCAATGCCAAAAAATCAATAAATACAAGCAGAAACATGTCCCTTAACAAGATGATGGCAAGCACCAGGAAAAAGCCCACCGCGTCGGGAGCACCTGCCGTGGTTCCTTGTGAGGAACGGATGCCTTGGATTAGAAGTAAACAGCAGGTCAGCAGTCGCCACCCCAGTGGGCCCCGCCTAAGGCACGTCTTCCCCACTTCCTGCACAGGGGCACGGCGCCTCCTTACCTGCCGCCCCTCCAACTCGATCTGGAAGTTCTTTGCCGACTCCTGGGTCACCCGCCCTCCGAAGTCCAGCTGGTAGACCTGGGTGGCCTCGTTCCACAGAGGCTGCTTGTTGGCCATGACGTAGACAAAGCCCTGGCTGCCCAGCCGCCCGTCCTCCTTCTCGCTGGCCTTCCGGCACTTGAACTCCTCCAGCTCGCTGGCCGTGCGCAGGCTCCGCTTGCTCTTCCAGCCCTTCTTGCCGGCCTGGCCCTGGTTCATGAGCTCGTCCCCACTGATGAAGAGCTCGGGCTCGCTCTCCGAGCTGTCCTGGAACTCGTTCGTCTTGTTCAGCTTCTTGGACTTCAGCTGGTCCTTCTGACTCTTGACTTTCTTCTTCTCTCTCCCCAGGCGGGGGCTGGAGATGAGAGAGTTGAAGTCGCTCAGAGCCCTCGCCTCCTTCTTCACTTTGCCCTCCGTGATGGCCTGAACGTTTCCTTCCTCTGCTCGGCTGTCCAGGCGCTTCCGGTTCTTCTTCCCGAATTTCTCTGTCCGCTGGGGGACCGGGCTTTCTGTCAGGGAGAGAACTTCTTGGAAGTTGTCTGCAGTCTCTACCATCACCTCGGTGCCCATGTGGCTCTGGAGGTCGGTGGGTGGCGGGGACACGAGGGGCTTCTCCACCACGAGGTGGGGCTTGGGGGGAAGAGCACCCTGGGGGGTCTGCATGGGGGGACAGGTGCCGTAGGAGCTCCAGGGGTGCAAGGCGAGAGCTGGCAGCTGTAAACCGGAGCACGTGCTGCTTCCTGGGTACGTGGGGGGCAAGGTGCAGTAGGAGAGGCCGGGCGGGTGTGCGGGCTCGGGAACAGCAGCGGACTCCGGCTGTGCAAACTGCGCAGGCGACAGGGCGTCTTTGGGGGAGCAGGGAGCCGGCACGCCGGGCAGAGGGGGGCTGTTGTAGCTTCCTGCGTACGGCACTCCCATCCCATAGCCTGTCTGGAAAGTGGCAGTAGGGCTGGCGGGAGACTTGGGGGCGATGAAGGGCACTCGGGCTACGTCCAGGTGCTGGCCCTGACCTAGCATCGGAGGGGGCAGTTTTAAGGGGTTGGGCCCTGCAGCCTGTGCTGTCCTGTCCTGAGGAACCCACACGTCCTCGCCCAGCACAGGGCCCCACTGGTAGGGGGGCGGCCGTTTCACGGCGACCGCAGCTTCGGGCAGCGGGGGATGCCTCAAGGGCTTCTCGAGCTGACAGTGCTGGGGCAGGGCCTCATCCTCCGTGAAAGCCGAGTTCACATAGTCCGTGCGGTCGCGGCCACTGCCGGGCGGGCTCAGCAGACTGTAGGAGGACTGGGAGGCCAGCGGGGAGGCACTCACAGCATGGGCCAGGATGGCGCCTGGCTGAGAGCTGGGCCCCGCGCCACTGCACTGGCTGCAGGTGTACAGGCCAGGCGGGGGCCGTGTGGGGAGCTGGGCTGCTGTCCCAGCAGGGCCGCCCTTGGGCTTGGCCGGTGGCGGCTGCAGGGGGGCTCGAGGGCTGTCGGCCAACTGGGCCATCTTGAGTGTGGCCTCGCGGTTGTTCCTCCGCAGGGTGGCATGGATGAGGCTGCTGTCCAGTCTCTGGGCAGTGCTCCGCCCCTGGGCCAGCTGGCTGGCAATTTCAGGATATGGAGGTGGGTCCCCCGTGGGGATAGAGTAGCGAGGGATGGTCAAGCGGTTCAGGGTGGCACTGGTGCATGGTTGGGGGACCTTCTTCTCAGTGGCCGTGAGCCTCAAGGTGGCTGAGCTGCCCGGGCCAGGGAGGGTGTAGGTGTTCTGGGAGCAGAGCACCCGTGTGCGAGGCCGACACACCTCCTCCACGTTGCCGCTGCTGTCGAAGGTGGTGATCCTCTCGTAGCCCAGTGGGGTCTGGTAGTGTGCGGACGTGGGGTACAGGGAGAAGTCGCCCTTCTTCAAGCACATGTCCACCGGAGGCTGTGGTGGTGGCAGAGGGGGCGGGGGTGCCGCCGTGGTTGGAGCAGCGGGGATGGTTCCTGGGTAGGGGGGTGGAGGGTTCATCTTTGCCACCTGGACCTCCTGGGGGGCACTGAAGACCACTGCATCCCCCTCAGCTGCCAGCGGAGGCACCGGCCGCAGGGCCTTGGCTGGCTTCTGCAGGTGCTCCTGGTCTCGCCCTCCGTGGTCCACCATAGACAACTGCATGGCCCCCGGCGGTGGCGGCGGCAGGGACAACTGAGGGGGGTTCTGCAGGATACGGCCCATTTCCACACCTCCAAAAATCACCTGTCCAGGGTTGGAGTACCGGTTGGAGACTGGATACTGGCTGACACTGTCACCTGCATGCTCTGCTGCTCCCATAGCCGTTGTCTGGTTGGTCAGGACATCCAGCTGTACATTCTGATTGGCCAGCAGGGACTGCACCAGCCCTATGCTCTGGGTGGGGGACATAGCTTGAGCTGAGCTGTGGATCGGTGCTATGGGGATGTTCACGGTACAAGGTGGGTTGCTCTCGGGGACACCAGAAGCTCCCGTCACTGCAAGGAGATTACACAAAGGAACTGCTTGTAAAACACCACCACGAACCTGGGTCAGGATGAGCCACACGCCTGGACTCACCAGCCCTTCCGTGCACACAATGGAATTAGATGTGTCTGCTTGGGGAAAGCTTCACATCTTTTATTTCAGGAAGCACACAGGCATCTGGGGCTTTCTGCCGGGCAGCCTGCCCAGCCCGTGAACTAAGGGCACCATCAGGACTTCTCAGCAAACACGCATTCGAGTTTGAACCTTCTGAATCTGGTACCGTCGCAAATCTGTCCCAGCATACATCAGGGTCAAGTTCTTTTACTGATGACCCTCGTGAAATGCCGGCACGAGGCGACGGTGGTTCAGAAGATGCAACTCCACCGAGGACTCACAATGGCGGTGCATCCAAGTAGGGTTACCCCTAATTTATTGATGAGAGCTGTCATGCAACTGATGTGTACCTAAATGCTTACATTTGCAAATCAAACTTATGCAAATAGAATCATGTGAACTGTCACAGCAAACCAGCATGTTCTGCAAATGTGTCTATCAGGTAAAGGATCATCTAGCTCACCTGCTTTTCGGTAACTCAAGCAGTGTGCGAGGCAGCGCTACCACGAGCACGGCAGACCTGCGGGCCGCCGAGAGCGTGCACGTGAGCGGCGCCCTGGGCACCGCGAGCAGCTGCTGTGTGTGCGGCCCTGCGTACAGCGCCCGCCGCGTCGGTCCGTGGCTTTTCCTCAAACTGCCACCAAGACAGAGGTCTGAAGTCTGGTGCTTAGCCCTGTGTGGCAATGAGCACATGCACAGGGCAGAACGGGACTGGGCAGACTGGTGGCCACGGTCTCCTGACTGCGACCAGACGGGCTGGTTGTCCAGGTTTCCTGACTTCACCAGAAGAACTATGAAATGTAGCCAGTGAGCTTATCAAAGGCCAAGGCCACACGTGGTGTCTGGGGGCCTTTCGCAACACCTGATTCTCCTCTGGCTGCACAAATCCGGGTCATGCCCCAAGGTTCCTGCCAGTCCTGTTCAGACCCCCTTCCAGAAGCTCTCTCATCTGTAGGGAGCAGAGAAGGGTCACCTGGTGGAGTCATTTGTCACTAATGGGAGCTCGGAGAGGACGCGCTGCCTGCTCTTGCCGGGAACAGCCAGCCACAGGGGCTGCACGCTGCACCCTGGGAGAGCAGGGCTATGAAGCGGAAGGTGCACCAGGCACCTCGTGGAGCTTCTGCACCAGGCTGCAGCTGCTCGTGCTGGCAGCACAGCATCCACTGGGACTTAAGACACGGAACCCGGCTGGGCCTCTCTGCACTGAGACCCGCACTGCAGGGCGTAGGCTCTGTGTCCTGGAGATGGGCGGGATGGACAGGACAAAGGCTGTCTGGTCGCTGTGGCTGGGTTCTAGTTCTGATTTTATTGGGTTCGGCTAACTGCTCTGTCCAGAGGCACACAGCTAAGAAGGGTCCTGTGAGGTGAGGGGGTGGGAGCCAGGCTCTGTGACCACGAGCCATCACTGCCACCGCAGCCTACCCCTGCTCTGCACTCCTCCCCTCCCCAGACCAGGGCCAGCTGTGACTGTGTGGGCACACAGCGACCTCGTCTGCCAGCCTTCACAGGGCAGGCGTGCCTTTCCCAAACCAGGGCAGCAGGCTGCGATCCTCAGTGCCTTCCTGCCCTGCTCCCCTGTCACGGGCTGCTAGGAAAGGGGCGCGTGTGAACACACCTGGCAAATCATCTTCATCTTCACTGAAAACATTTGGGTTGAAGACAGGTAAATTAATATAGTCCATGGAAATCTTCCGAACTTCTGGGAGATAAATTGTCATCTGCCGTGGCTGGAGATGCAGCAGGCTGGTTTTATAGATTACTGGCGGGGAGGAAGAAGGGCACGGTTAATAGAGACACACTGGGGGAGTCATAGCAGAGGAATCGAGGGCTCTGGGGGACACAGTGGCTCAGGCAGGGCCAAGAACCCGAGAGGAGTCCCTCGCCTCTCCCAGGCACACAGCGCAGCCACACCAGCCACAGTTTTAATTCAGTCACAGCAGATGCTTGGTTTAGCTCAGCATGTGTGCCAACGGTGTGTCAATAGAACTATAAATTGTGAATGTCAGAAATAAATCTTAGACTTAAATTCTTTTCTGGAGTGGGCTGTGGTATGAAAAAATCCATTTCTCAAACCCCTTCTGCAGTCAGAAGGACAGCCCAGTGAAGACTAGCCCCAGTGCCAAGCAGTCCAGGGGCTGCTCTCCCCTGCCGGACTCCACGTGGTTTAACCTTCAGATCACATTTGATTCACGGGGACATTCAAGAGAAGGCTTAGATGGCAACTGAAGTATTTACTGGGAATGAAATAAATGCACAAGTAAAGAAAGCTGCATTCAGGTTTCACAGTAGGTTAAGATGTGTGTGAAACTGTCCACCCTCTCACAGCACTCCTTGCTCAGGGATGGGCAGACACAGGGCTTCCCGTCTGTTAGAAGCAGCCCCGATCTGCGCCCGGGCTGTTCTCAGCACCACAGGCCGCCTGAGCTGAGGCTGAGGTTCAAGGCTGTCACCTGGACTGGGGCAGGCTGAGATGACTTTTCCTACCCACATGCACGTGCTCATTTTTTTTTTTTTTCACACAAAAGAATGAAAACAAGAATTCTGGCAAAAAATTCTGTATGGTTCCGTATGATTTAAGGTTTAATGAATTAAAGTGCTAGTCCTTAGGCTAATCCTCCGCCTTGCGGCGCTGGCACACCGGGTTCTAGTCCCGGTCGGGGTGCCAGATTCTGTCCTGGTTGCCCCTCTTCCAGGCCAGCTCTCTGCTGTGGCCTGGGAGTGCAGTGGAGGATGGCCCAGGTGCTTGGGCCCTGCACCCCATGGGAGACCAGGGTAAGCACCTGGCTCCTGCCATCGGATCAGCGCGGCGGCCATTGGAGGGTGAACCAACGGCAAAGGAAGACCTTTCTCTCTGTCTCTCTCTCTCTCATTGTCCACTCTGCCTGTCAAAAAAAAAATTAAATAAATAAAGTGCTAGTCCTTGTTGTTCATATTGACAACAGTAAAATACAAATTTTCAGGAGATATTAGAAAAATATCAATTGCTTCCAGGGGAAGGAAAACTAGGTGATTAGGGGTGAGAATCAGAGTGTGCGTGAGTGTGTGGTTTTTTTTTTTCCTACTATATATCCCTTTAAATATTTTGAGCTTTTATATATTTCTAAGAAATGCAAAGAATTGAAATAATAAATTGAACAGGCCAGATAGTTTTAACTGAAGGAAAACAGATTACCCAATATGGCTAATACCACTTTTTATAATTTTTTAAAAAAGATTTATTCTATTATTTATTTGAAAAGCAGATTGACAGAGAAAGAGAGACAGAGGTAGAGAGGTAGAGAGGTAGAGGTAGAGAGAGAGAAATCTTCCATCAACTGGTTCACTCCCCAAATGGCCACAATGGCGGGGGCTGGGCCAGGTCAAAGAACTCCATCTGGGTCTCCCACATAGTTGGCAGGGGATCCTTTACTGGGCCAGCCTCTGCTGTCTTTCCAGGCACATCACCAGGGAGCCGGACCAGAAGCGGAGCAGCCAGGACTTGAACCGGTGTGCCAGTGTTGCAAATAGCCGTTTAACGCACTGCAACACAACGCCCACCCTACCGCATCCTGTTTCAGTCCACTAATGTTCCATATTGTCCTTGGAGAGATTAGTTAATGGAATACCCTATGCAGTACACCTTCTAGAATTCAACAGTTGCTTTCTTTCCTCTAGTAGATTCAAGTTACAACTGACGACTGTATAACTACATGAACAAAAAGCTCTTTTTATTTTATTTTTTATTTTTTTATTTGACAGAGTTACATAAACAGTGAGAGAGAGAGAGATAGAGAGAAAGGTCTTTCTTCTGTTGGTTCACCCCCCAAATGGCTGCTATGGCCGGAGCTAGGCCTATCCGAAGCCAGGATCCAGGTGCTTCCTCCTGGTCTCCCATGTGGGTGCAGGGGCCCAAGCACCTGGGCCGTCCTCCACTGCACTCCCAGGCCACAGCAGAGAGCTGGCCTGGAAGAGGAGCAACCAGGAATAGAACCTGGCGCCCATATGGGATGCTGGCGCCACAGGCGGAGGATTAACCAAGTGAGCCACGGCACCGGCCCCCAAAAGCTCTTTTTAAAAAGTCCAGTGACTAGGCAGGGACCCTAACGAGGTAATATAGAAAGACTCATCATAAGTACTCAGCTTGCTCAAATTGGAGCATCTTGTACCTCAGAGGCACTCAGAGGCTCACTCATCATAAGGCCCTCGTTGGCTTGTTTGTGTATCTACTCCCATTAGTACATTCTCACTTTCCTCTTTTTTCAATATCCACTCCAGGCGGATGGTGACGTTCTCAGCTTTCTGATGCAGCGATAACCACGACAGTCAGCATTATGCAGGGCGCTGTGGGTCATCAGAGTTCCCAGGTTGTTGAAGATATTTCAAGATCTTTTCTTTGCATTGGGTGGGATGGTTTATTGTTATTTTCTAAGTTAGTTTCATGTTTACTTTTTTTCCTTTTTCTGTGGGCTGAGGAACCTTAAGACGAAAGCTCCAAATGCAGGCTGTTTAATAAATCTCTTAGCAGGTCTTTCCAACATCTGATAACTAAAGGACTGGTGTATGTAACAGGTCTTACAAAAGGAAGCCATTTTGCAAAAGCTGTTTCCAGCAGGCCCCACAGAGCACGCCTGAGACGGAGGCCACAGGCCGACCGGGCTGAGCGGGCCTTGCAGGGGTGCGGAGGAGGGGACGCGGTGAGGCATCTGGCGGGGTGCGGGAGCGGCGCAGCTCCTCAACCCAGCGGGGGGAAGCTGCTTTGACAAGGATCTGCTGCACCCCCGAGGTGCCCCCGTCGTCGTTCCCACTTATCTGGGGGGAGGGCAGAGGAGAGCCAAATTCCGGGTTCTGGCCCAGCCTTGCAGTCCCTGGGATGCTTCTGTTGTCTCAAACTTGTCACTGGCAGGAAATCGATCAGGTATTAAGAAACGACGTTTATCAATATTTACCACCAAGGCAGGTACTAACAATCGGCCAACTTTTTAGTCTCCACTGCCTCTTTCTCTGACACTTTCTTCGCAGCAGCCTTCTTCTGTCTCAAGAACCCAGACACCAGAACCCAAATCCACCCACAGGTCAAGGTCTAGAAGTTGAAATACCTACAAACCCAAGAGAACTCTGACAGACATTTCAGCTGTTTCGGTCATTTGTATATTTCTATTATTTTTATAAGTCTGGTCTCATAGCAAAAAAATTCACTTTCAGTGGTAATACTAAGATCACAGTGGCTGGAGTCCACGTTTGAGTGTCAAACCAACACTATTCTTTTGCTATCTTAAGAACTCACTTTCTACTTTAGTCATCAAAGTTGAGGTTGGATTTTTAAATATGAGTTCCAACTGGGATACTGAGAGAACAAGATGTGGTTTTTACCTGCACCGAGGTTGGTTGGCAGGAAAGCAGCCAAGCCCACAATCTTAAATTTGGTTCCCCAGATATTGGACGTGACCTGAGCAAGGTAGTTGTGCTGTGGGCGAAAAAGAAAAAGGAAGAATCACAATGTACTGTTTCTTACTGATTACTTAGGAAGAATGCTAACACTCACAGCTTACAGAGCCACACGCGGACGCTCACTGCACACCCATTTCTCACTGGCGGGGCCCGGCTGTCCCGACATGTCCACATGCGTGGTTAAAAGGCACTGACATGACAAGGCACATGTCGCCTCACTCTCCTCTCACCGCCACGGCACTGAGCTAGAGGGGCATCCAACCGAATCATTTCTATCCTCAGTGTTTCCCCTGGAAACAGCAGTCACAGTCACATTACTACGTCCTGAAATAACTCAAGGACCTATTTTCTCATTCTACTCAATTAATAGCTTAAGAAGTGACTGCTGGGCCCAAGGGCCTGATGGAACAGACACGACTTGCAATGGCTTGCTACACAGAGCCACAGGCCAGCACCAGAAGTGAGCACACTGGGTGCATGGGCACACTGGGGCTGAGCTGTGCAGGGAGCCTTCATGATGAAGCTGGCAGTGGAGAGTGGAGCGGGTCTGGGAGCACGGGAACAAGGACGAAGGGAGGAGAGGTGACCCACGAAGAACAAAGGCTCAAGGCAAGGAGAAGCAGGAGTGGCTGTAGCACCTGCAGGGAGAGGAGGCGTCAAGGGAGTCAGGCAGGCCCAGCGGCACGGCCGGGAGTTCTCGCCCAGATCACTGGAGGGTCTGGACTGAGAGGGCACAGCGGAAACGTGGGCACGTCTGTCAGGGCTGGGCTCCAGGGGGATTCCTGTGGGAGGGGGAGCAGGGCTGGGGCCCGAGTGCGGGTGGTGGCTGGAGCGGGTGGCCAGGGTGGGACGGGAGGTGGCAGGTTCAGGATGGCTCTGAGGGTTGAGCCCGCACTGCTGGATGCATGCTACTACCTGAGTGATGTCTTCAAAAGGAAACTCTCTCCGCGTCAGGCTGGGTGAGCCGATGGAGGGCTTGCGCATGGGCAGCCGCGGAGACCGTGAGATCTCCTGAGCAGCCCGGGGCAGCTTGGGAGACTTCCGGGCCTCAATGCTGATCCTGCAGAGACACGGTCCCGAGGGTTAGGCACCCACCGGAGGAGACGCGACGGCAGCCCAGACCCCCACAGCTCTCCTCCCTTTCTGGGAGCGTGGGATTCTCAGTGGCCAGAGCCCTAGTTGCACAAAGCTTTCTGCCTCCTGCTTTTGTCTTACGAGCACAAGGAAAGAATAAATGCAACTGAATCATATATGCAGTATTTGAAAGTTCACTGAGATTAGAGCGGATGATTCATCTGTAAGGAACCTCACAGAAGTAGCTGCCTTCCACTTCCTACTGACTGCAGTAGGTCTGGGAACAGCCGCACCTCGGCCCCGGGCTCGCAAAGCCGGTCCTGGGGGAATGGCAGGTGGGGAGAGTCACTTTTCACTCTGAGACCACAGTAGTGATTTTTAAAACTCTTTCTATGACATTGTGGATTTCAACAGATTTAGTTGGCATTTCCCCACCTACAGTGTTTATATCGAATCAGTGAATCTAAAGCTCGTCTGCTGCCTTTTGATCCCTGTTTTATCTCTGTTCCTCAGCTCCCTTACTTACGACATGGAGATTCATGTTGAATGCTGGTCTACCCCAGAAAGAGTGAGATACAATGGCTACTGGTAAGGCTTACAACATTTTATGAGCAAGTGCATGAAGCCTCACACCACACTGTGGGCATGATGGGAACTCGGAACACCTGAAGAACAGGAGCTGACAAAGGAAGGAGCCAGGACCTGGCTGCTGTGTGGAGGAGGCTCCACGTGAGGAAAGAGGGAAGGGGGACCAGCCATGGGGAGACAGCGGCCTGGAAAGGACATGTGCGGGTGGAGGCCTTCTTTGCATACGTGTTAACTACCTTCTCTGCTTGAACACTGGAAAAAGACAAAACACTGGAAGTGCAGGAAAGTTCTTAACTTTAAGGACAATTTTTCTTTTTTTTAAGATTCATTTTATTTATTTGAAAGACAGAGTTATAGGGAGAGGTAGAGACAAGAGAGAGAGGTCTTCTATCCAATGGTCCACTCCCCAGATGGCTGCAATGACCGGAGCTGTGCCCATCCAAAGCCAGGAGCCGGGAGCTTCCTCTGGGTCTCCAGATCACTGGTGCAGGGGCCCAAGGACTTGGGCCATCTTCTACTGTTTTCCCAGGTCACAGCAGAGAGCTGGATCAGAAGAGGAGCAGCCGGGACTAGAACCAGTGGTCATATGGGATGCCTGTTTCAGGCCAGGGCTTTAACCCACCATGCCACAGGTACAATTTTCAAAAATTTATCTGAAAGGTGGAGCCACAGATAGAGAAGAAGAGACAGAGAGATCGTGAAGGAAAGAGAGTGACAGAGACAGAGACAGAAAGAGTCCGTTGTCAGTGCAAGAGAAAGATTTTCCATCTGTTGGTTCACTCCCCAGATGGCCACAGCGGCTAGAGCTGGGCCAGGCCAAATCCAAGAGCCCAGACTCCACTGGGATCTCCATATGGACACAGGCCACCCTCCCCTGTCCTCCCAGGTAGAGCGGCAGGGAACGGTTGGAAGCAGAGCAGCCGGGACCTGACCCAGCACTCACGTGGGACACTGGAGTCACAGGCAACAGCCCAATCCACCGCACCACAGCCCTGGCCCTCTTTAAGTACAGCTTTAACAAGCTTTAGATAAAGGTGGAAAAATCAATCAATCAGATGGCTGGAGCAACTACATGCCTGCGTAGAAAAATATGAACATCCACCCCTAATTCACTGCCTATACAAAACGCATCTGATACAGTTATCCTGAGATGTAGGTGTAATATAAGAGAACATCTCACACGGGCTATGTGAACACACACGCCAGCAGACATATCCAACAAGCGACTCATATCTCAAATGTGTAAAGAACTCTTACAATTCAGTAAGAGAAAAAATGATCCAATAAAAAGTGGGGGAGAGACCTGGACAAAGAGTTCATGAAAGAAGACAGCCAGATGCTGACTGGCGTGAGGAGGTGCCGACCGTGACAATCACTGGGCGTGTTAGCAGGCACCTACAATGCGATACACAGACATCCACTGGAATTGCTAAGATTACTTTAAAAAATGACAGTGCAGCTGTGGGTGAGAATGGAAGCAGCTGGAACTCTCAAAAATTGCTGACGGGAACTTAAGTGGGCACAGCTACCATGGAATACTCTTTGGTAGTTCCCAGTGAAGCCCAACACAGACCTCACCCGGGATCTCGCTCAGCTCCCTTCATATACCCAAGGGAAATGTGTGAGTAAGGCTGCTGGAGACTTGCAGAGGACGTTTCTAACAGGTTTATTCATAGCAGTGCCACTGGACACTATCACATATTCTTTGACTGGGAAACAGAATAAACACATTGTAGCTACTACAGTGGAATACCTGATGGCAGTAAAGAAAAACAAACTATTGATACACACAGGATGTGCTAAGTCTCAAATCATCACACTGAACAAAAACGCTGATAAAATGAGTACATACAGCTTGACTCTACTTATATAAAGTTCAAGAACAGCAACGCGCATCCTTAGTGACAGAGGCAGAAGAGTAACTGCCTCTTGGGAGTGGGTACTGGAGGGAAGCAGAACACGCCATGTTCTTTCTCTTGAACCGGGCGCACAGTGGGACAACCGTTTATGAAGTGAGCACGTGTGTGTCTGTATGTAAATCACATCAGAGAATTCTGGAGCTAAGTCACCCTAACTTCCAGGATGAGGGGTGCGCGTCTCCATCCAAGGCCACAGAGCTCCCGCCTCCTCAGAGACGGCGCCGAGAAGGGGGTTGGCACTGCCGTCTGTACCACCAGGGGCCCTTCCACCTACTCTTAGCTTTCTGCCTGTAGGAGCCTTTTTTCTCTTAAAGATTATTTATTTATTTATTTGAGAGGTAGAGTTACAAACAGTGAGAGGAAGAGACAGAGAGAAAGGTCTTCCTTCCGTTGGTTTACTCCCCAAATGGCTGCCACGGCCAGAGCTATGCCGATCTGAAGCCAGGAGCCAGGAGCCTTCTTCTGGTCTCCCATGGGGTGCAGGGCCCAAGGACCTGGGCCATCCTCCACTGCCCTCCCGGGCCACAGCAGAGAGCTGGCCTGGAAGAGGAGCAACCAGGACTAGAACTGGCCCCCATCTGGGATGCTGGCACTGCAGGCAGAGGATTAACCTATGGTACCACAGCGCCGGCCCTAGGATCCTGTTTTGTTGATTCACTACTACCTTCTCAATTACAGCATTACAGGCATTCTCTCCAACACACAACAACCACTATAGCACCTTTTCTTCCTTCTATCACACTGGAAGGGAAAACAAGCCAGGAAGCTCTGCTGTGGCCCCTGTGCCGCTCACTGCCACTGCTCTGGGGTTTAGCAGACTTCCTATTCAGTGCCTTTTTCTATCCCAAAGGAAAAAACAAGCAAAAAAAGCTGCTATTATTCCAGAAAGAATCTTCCAGAAGAAAAGGTGATGAGAACAGAAGGGGATGCTCCTGTAACTGGTCTCTTTTACTGCCATTAAACAGCGATGTTCACTCTAGTCAGAACACGTTCTACTCCTGGGCAGCATGCTGGACCAAAGGCGGCTCGGGATGTGCCCCCGTGTCGGTGTCTACGGGACTCTCCTGCAGGCACAAACACATACATGTCCCGCGGCACGACAAATGGGGACCGCCTGGAAGGCTGAGCGTACCTCGGGAGCTTGGGCGACTTGCTGGCCCTGGAGATCTTGGGTGACTTCTTGGCAGCCCAGTCGTCACTCAGTTCGATGTCACTGGAGTCTGAGCAGTTGCAGCTGTCAATCATGGTGGAAACCAGGCTGTTCCCGTAGATTTCATCTGTGAAGACAACATCCGGCACAGTGAGGGAAATGACGTCCGCTAGGGCCTAACCACCGTCACTGCGGTCAACTCCAGGACAGCCTGCCTTGGCAGGCCACCGCTTTAGGTCTCGAGGTTGAAACGGCAGTGTAGCCGTGTTTCTTCTTCTGCATTTCTAGACTCTTGTTTTTTCTAAGCAAAAGTAGGCAATTACTTCTACTGCCGCCAAAATGGGCCCAGTATTTTAACGTACAAAATAGTCCGGCAGCTCCACTGCTTACAATGCTGGAAGTAGAAACCAAAATGGTTGTGCTGTTGTGTGACACAGTGGCCATCTATGCTCCTGTGGACTTCCAGGTGGCCTCAGGACAGAGCTGCCGACTTACAGACGCCCCTGGAACCTGCCTCTGGCCTAGGAAGGCCTGTGGTGCTAGGCCTGCTTGGACTGGAGCCTGCCTGAGTTTGCTTGTGCCCAGGTCTCTCAGAAGGTTTGTGTGTGGCATGGCAGGTGGTCTGTGGAAAAGTGCAAGGCCGGCTGAGGGGCTGGGCTACTCCACCTGCTGGAGGTGCTTGCCTGCTTGGGTCACTGGCTCAAAGACCCACGCAGTGGGAGCTTTCAATGGGAACTCCGGGTACCTATGAGGGCCTTCCATACAGACTCACTCATGACAACCTGGCAAGCTAGACCTTAGGCAGAATCACTGGCCCCAAGGCAGAAGCCAGGGCAATGTGCAGACGGGCAGTCCTAGAACTGTGAAATAGAGGCTGGCATTGTGGCCTTGTAGGTTAAGCCCCTGCCTGTGCCCTGGCATCTCATATGGGCTCTAGTTTAAGTCCTGACTATTCCACTTGCAATCCAGTTCCCTGCTAATGGCTTGCAAAAGCAGATGGCCCAAGTACTTGGGCCCCTGTACCCACATGGGGGACCCAGCTGTAGCTCCAGGCTTCGGCCTGGCTCAGTCCTGGCCGTTACAGCCATTTAGGGAGCGGATGGAAGGTCTTCTCCCCTGTCTCTCCTTCTCCCTTTATGTAACTCTGCCTTTAAAGCAAATAAATATTTTTTAAAGCTGTAGACAAGGCCCCTCCTCCTCAAAACTCCTCCCTTGCTGCCCTGTCCGGCTTCAGTTTCTCATCCCTGCACTCCCCAAGGTCTTCTCAGCACACACCCTAGGTCTGTCCTCAATGTGAGAACCCCACTCTTCAGTATTTGTCTTGCTAACTAAAACCTCATTCCCTGAAGATTGCAGGAGCCTTGACAGGTAATCAAAAAGCTGAATCATCCAGTCACAATCAAACAGTTCGGAGAATGAGAGTGAGTTTTCCACCCTGAGGGGCTGCTGGCATTTACAGGACGAGTTTGTGAATCCACAGCTCTCTCAGTTCCTGAGCATATGGGGGTGACATCTGTGAACAGGAGCCCTCCAGGGCAGAAAAGCCTGGCAGGCTGCGTGGGAAGGAGCCTGCTGCCCTGTTCCTGTCACCTGCATCACCCCCTTCTGACAGCACTGATGGAATCGACTGGCATGACTCAAACATCCTGCAAGCTGCAGTGGTATGTGTTTGAGTTCAATCAAAAAAAGACCAACTTCCCACACCCCTGACCAGTGCTCTGTGTTGTTTAAGTTAAGGGTCACTGGACCAAGGGAAGCCCAGCTATGATTCAAACCTGGGTCTAAGTACACAGAAGGCCTCCATGTGTGTGTGAACTGATGGAGGAAACCCAGTCATGCTCTGCCCCTCCAACCTCCAAGTTCCTCATCAATGGAAGATTTCTCAAATGCTAGGTGCCATACCATTCGCTCCTTTTACTGAACTCACAACTACTTTGCAAACAGTAACCAAAACAATGCTTATTCAGACACAGCGAGAACTCCCATCTGCTGGTTCACTCCCCACATGCCTGGCAATGGATTTGGGCCAGGGCTGAAGCTGGGAACTCAACACAGGGCACTCACGTGGGTGGCAGCAACCCAATTACTTGAGCCATCACTACGGCCTCCTAGGGTCTGCGTTAGCAGGACGCTGGAGGCAGGAGCCAGAGCCAGGTAATCTGATGTGGAAATCTGAACCACGTGGCTGCATGCCTACCCTACAGCACTGCTTTATTCCTGTCTCCCCAACTAGTGGGTGAAGTCCTCAAGGAAAGGAAGATTGGCTGGCTTGATCCCTGCTGTAATCCCAGAGCCTAGAACAATTTCGGGGACTCGATAAAACTTCCAGAAAGCACAAATGAGTTAAGTGGTGGCAGGAGGAAAAGGAAACTGCTTTCTGTTTAGCCCCCTCCCCCAACTCTGCCATCTGCCATCAACACAAGTAGAAGAAACCTCCACACTGCATCAGCTGGAGCCGGGCAGCACCTGGGCGTACCTCACTGTTTCTAGAGAAGATTAAGTTGGCACTGGTCATTGGGACCAAAGCCATAACACTGTCCTGGGCTTCACATCCCAGTTTTGCCAGTCTTCATGAATACGCTCATTTTATCTGGGCTGAAGGAACCTTTCTAGACAGGTGTTGGTTTAGCAGTTAAGAAGCTAGTTGGGATACAGGCATCTCACATCAGAGTGCCTGGCTTTGAGTCCCAGCTCCATTTCTGATTCCAGCTTCCTCACGATGCGCACCCTGAGGAGGTAGCAGGTGATGGCTCCCTGTCCCCCATGTAGGAAACCCGAATTAGGTTCCTGGCTCCTAGGGTCAGCCTGGCCAGGGCATTGCAGGGGAATGAACCAACAGATGGGAGCTCTCGCTCTCTCTTGTCATTCAAATATTAAAAATCTTGAAAAGCTGTTTGGGGGCAAATGTTGGTGCGGTAGTTATCAACAATGCTGCTTGCTAGACCTGCAGCCCCTATCAGTGTCTCAGTTTGAGTCCCGGCTGTTTCTGATTCCAGTTTCTCACAGTGGGGGTTAGGGCAAACTGACTAAAGACTCCTTTGGGAAACTGTGAATTTTCACTAAAAAAAAAAAAATTACTGGGACTCAGAGTTTCTAGAATATACACCAGCAACCTTGAGGAAACTTGTTGAGTCACGCGAGCTTGTGCAAAGTGGATTATAATTCTTGGGGAATAAAAATCACCTGGGGAACCCAACGGATCATGGATTTCTAGGCCTCCTCAAGACCTAATGACTTGCGACTAAGGGGTGGAGCCAGGAACCTGTGTTAGGAAGCATCCCAGGGCACTGGCTTGAGGGGGCCACAGATGACATTTTGAGAACCCTGATGTGGAGGCTTCAGAGAGGTAATCCGGTTCTCTTGATGAGAAATTCCTGGCATTCAAAGTTTATATATACACCATTCAGTTGGCGATTAGTCATAGCGTGCCTTGTGACACATCTATCTGTGTCATGAGGTATTTAAATCTTGACTTTTTAAGTGAACTTTCTAAGCACTTACCTTACCAAGGCTTCATCAACCCACTGAAAGTGGAGATACCCGGTATGGCTGAACCATCCACGACTCTCAAGTGTCTCACACCAAGTAGCTGCTCACCAAATACTGGTTGATTTATTTTGCTTAGCAATTTTCAACTATAAAAATAAACATCTCCTTCCCCACAAGGCTGTTAGCAATTGAGTCTGTATGAGCTGGACACAGCGGGCCCCAGGCAAGCCCGGCCTCTGGGGTGCTGCAGCCCGTGCCCTGCCCACGGCACACATCCTGTCCTCTCCCGAGGTGGGGAAATCGCTGCACACCTCACAGCAACACACTCTTCACTTACATTTTCCTCAACATTTAATCTCTGTACAGGACCCAGTGACAACACACATGTGGCCCTGTCAGAACCTGCCCCTCGTACCCCTGCCCCAATCATCTCTAACCTGTGATGGCTCTTTCCTTCTCCCTCTCTCTGAAACCATGCTTTCCTTTTCCTTAAATAAAAAAAGAGAAAGAAAAGAGAAAAAGATTTTATTTGAGAGGCAGAGTGACATGGGGGGGAGGCATGGAGGAGACGGAGTGAGAGATGGATCCTGAATCTGCTGGCTCACTCCTCAAATATCTGTAATGGCTGGGGCTGGGCCAGGCCACAGCCAGGAGACTGGAACTCTATCCAGGCCTCCCACTTGGGTGCAGGGGCCCAAGCACTTGAGCCGTCTTCCACTGCTCTCCCAGGCACATCAGCAGGAAGCTGGATTGCAAGAGAAGTAGCTGGGATACGACGCAGCATCGCAAGCAGCAGCTTACCCTGCTGTACACAACGCTGGCCCGGGGCTCTCCCACGCTAGCATCTAACATCTGCTCTCTCTGTCCTGTTTTCCTCACCACACCTTCATTCCTTCTGAATGCTCCCTCTCTTATTCTCCCTCACCACCAGCCCCCAATCCTCAATCTTTCTGCTCTGGTACTGGTTTCTCATGTTAGTCAAATGACAGAAAAATCCTAACAACTGATTTTAGGAAGTGTGTGCTCACTGCTTTGGGTTTTGCACAAGACTGGTAGCAGAGTGCTGCACAGATACTGAGCGAATGACGAGCCGAGGACAGAAGCCATGCAACTACGGAATGTCCGAGTGGGTCACAAGGTCGGCGACAAGCCCACCGTGAACTGAGACAACTGCAGTCAAGGCAGGTGTCACGGTGCTTTCAGGGATGTCGTGTGGGTCAGAGGTCAGCCTAATGGCTGGGGGGGTGGCGGGAGGGTGAGAGAGAGGGAGGGAGGGAAGAAGGGGGAGAGAGAGAGAACACACTGCAGTCAGGAAGTCGAGGGTAAGTGAACTGGCGGAAACAAACCCATCTTGACCTGTTATTTCAAGGTCAGGTGCTTGCTTGGCCTTCAGGGTACACAGGTGACCCAGCTCTCTGCCTCCAGGCCCCCAGGGCTCAGTGTGTCAGGCAGAGGAGCACGCAGGGTGTTGGGCAGGACACCCACAGCCCCCTGCCAGCCAGCAGCTGAGAGGGTGCTGCTCATTCCACAACAGGTGACGGGGCAGGTTTTACAGGGAGGCAGCAGGATGTTCGAGCTGCACGTGTTGACAGGTGCACAGACGCCGGGCAGGCACTGCGTGGCACAGTGGAAAGAACAAAGTCCCTTCCCTCTGCAGTTTCCCGACGTTGGAGCCCAGAGCATGTAGCAAGCACATCAATGCATTAGCTGAGTCATGAAGACCGGCACAGGGAGTTTTCATGAGGGCAGGGTGATTCACCATGTCAAAACCTTTAGGAGTGAGCAAGACATCTCACTGGCATTCAGCTAAAAAAACAGTTAATCATGGATTAGTGAGGGCAAAGGCAGGAAGCTGAAGGTTTGAAAAATGTAATTATTTCATCCATACTTGAGTTGGGAGAGCCTGTATCTCCTTATTTCCGAATGCCTCACTACTACATTACTGCAATCAATGAATAACGGTAAGAGGGAGCTCTCATTCCCGGAAGGCTGTGCCTGCTCCCCACCTCGCTGGAGCCAGTGCTCTCCCACCCACAGCCCCAGCTATCTGCGGCCTCACAGCACGCTGGCATGAGCCTGTCGGAAGGCACAGGGACAGAACTGCTTGCCTGAGGAGGCTATGGAGACCCGGGCGCTTCGGCTAAGTTCCACGCTGGCCGTCATAGGCTGATGTCGCATCGACGGGCAGGGAACGCTACTCCACAGCCCCACGGGAGCAAGGCCGCACCCACCCGGCCCACCTGACTTCGTGTCCGTCCGCGGGTCCATGATAACGAACTCCGGCCGCAGCTTGCTGACGCGGCGCCCCTTGAGGATGGGCACGAGCCCGCCCAGGTACTCCAGGTAGAGCGTGTAGCAGGGGCCGCCCACTTCCGGGTCGTCCTCTGTGCGCTTCATGGTGCAGTGCAGCCGCTCGTTGCCGGCTGAGGGGTAGCTGACAAAGTCTCGCATGTTGCTGGGGTCAGGAATTGGGGGCTAGAAGGAAAGACAAGGGAAGAAAAGGAAGTGCTGAGACCACGGGGGGGGGGGGGGGGGAGGGAGAGCGTGCCGGGGCGGGCAGGCTGGGACGCTCGCTGCTACTCCTGGGAGAGGGGGCTGTATGGCATGAAATGGTTGACTCCTAACAGAATCCCAGGAAGCTCTGAAACACCGAGGCCGGGGTCCTTGTCCGATCACACCGGATCTCTCGGGTGGGCCTGGACATCGGCATGTCCTAACATGACACTGTAAGGCAGCCTGGGGAAAAGAAAACCCCAGAAGATTCTAAAACCATTATGTTTCAGGAAAAAAGAAACCAGAAGTCAATCTGAGAGCTAGAAGTAAAGACAGAATATGAATAAGAACCTATGGTAGGGGCTGGAGCTGTGGCGCAGAGGGTTAAAGCCCCGGCCTGCGGCGCTGTGCATCTCATATGGGCAGTGGTTCAAGTCCTGGCTGCCCCACTTCTATCCAGCTCCCTGCTAAAGCTCCTGGGAAAGCAGTGGGAGATGGCCCAAGCTCTGGGAAGAAGCTCTTGGCTTCTGAATGTCTCAGCTCCGGCCACTGTGGCCATTTGAGGAGTGAACCAGTAGGTGGAAGACCTCTCTCTCGCTCGCTCTCTGCCTCTCTGTAACTCTGCCTTTCCAATAAATAAATAAACCTTAAAAAAAAAAAAAAAAGAATCTGCAATGACCCACAGAGGAACAGCAGCTGGCAGGTGGCATCCACGTGCTACCACCATATTCAGGCTGGTTTCTGGAGTTAGAGCGACAGACATCAGTGTGCAGACAGCTGACCAAGTGCTGGGGGCCCCTCCCCTCAGCACCGTGCACTGAAAGCAGACCGAGGCCTAGTCTGAAAGCTCCCCCTATGAGCTACGGAGCAAGTGACTTAATTTCTACAAAACCTGTTTCCTGTTTCTTTAGGTGAGAATGACGGCGACGTCCTCCAGGAAATCAGGACTGACCAGGACAAATGCTAACTAAACATTCGCTCCTTAGATCACCAGGAAGACACAGGAGCCAAGCTGGCCATGAGAGAGACAGCATCTACCTCACAAGGCTACCTCACATCGACACTAACAGTGATGTCTAGGGTGGACTGCAGGCATGGGAGGACATGCGGGATCCTGGGGTGGACTGCAGGCATGGGGACGTGGGGGACCCTGGGGTGGACTGCAGCCATGGGGGGATATGAGGGACCCTGGGGTGGACTGCAGGCATGGGGACGTGGGGGACCCTGGGGTGGACTGCAGCCATGGGGGGATATGAGGGACCCTGGGGTGGACCTCAGGCATGGGGGGACGTGGGGGACCCTGGGGTGGACCTCAGGCATGGGGGAACGTGGGGGACCCTGGGGTGGACTGCAGGCATGGGGGGACGTGGGGGACCCTGGGGTGGACTGCAGGCATGGGGGGACGTGGGGGACCCTGGGGTGGACTGCAGCCATGGGGGGACGTGGGGGACCCTGGGGTGGACTGCAGGCTTTGGGGGACATGGGGGATCCTGCAGAGACTGGTCAAGAAGCAGACAAGACCCTGTACACTTGCTCTGGCCCCTTATTGGTCTCTCCTGCTTCTGCCCACCTCCTGGCAAGCAGCAGGAGCAAGACAGGAGAGGCAGGAGGAAAGGGGAAGGGAGACTTTACCTTGATAGTAGGGATGAAGGCAGTGGAGAGGTAGGAGCAGAGGCGAGGGGGCAGGGTCAGCTTGCTGGCGTCCTTGTCCTCTCGGAGGGCACTGGCGATGGCCTGCTGGCACAGCAGCTGCAGGCTGGACACCCGATGCTCCACACGAACCACATACAGGGCTGGGCCTGAAGCCATCAGCAGTCGGGAGTCTCGGTGGCCCCAGCAGATGGAAATGATGGGGCGCTGCCAGGAAGTGAAGAGAAGGCGACTTGAGCTTTTGCTCTGGTGGCAGACAAGGGAAGGGTTCGTGCCTCATCCAAGCAGGCTGGAGGGCCGACAGCTTTGAGTATTAAAGCACCACAGGAAAGGCTAAATGTTGTGTTATGAGAATTCAGTGTTTTCACTGAACGCAGCTAGAATCAAGCGCCAGCATATTTTATGAAGTCTGTCACATGGATTATCTCACTGAATTTGGGGCATAACACTGTGAGCTCTGCAAAGTGCTATCTCCACTCATGGGGCAGCCATGCGTACAGCCACCCATGCTCCCCACCAAGGCACTGGTCACCTGGATCCCAGATTACACAGGGCTCGTTTCCCCAGCTTAAGGAGGAGGTAGGGCAGATAATGTCCCTCCCTTCTGTTCCAGGAGGCAGCATTTGTGTCAGATCAACAGCTGATGTGGGGTCACCAGCAGGGTGACCTGGGGGCTACTAGAGAATGCCGGAGGCCGCCCACCTTTCTCACGAGTCAAACAGGAGCACCGAGGATCAGAGGGGACAGTCGTGTCACGGTGCTTCTGGGACTCACCAAAGGTCACTACCCAGCCACCCATGATGAGACAGGGCCGGGAAGGAGAGCAGAGCGCTCCCTGGAGAGGGGACAGGGAGGAACCCAGTTCCTGGGCTGGCCTTGCTAAGGGCTTGCAGCCATCATCTTCTTTGAAAAGGCAGGCTGAGGGCCGGCGCCGTGGCTCAATAGGCTAATCCTCCACCTTGCGGCGCCGGCACACCAGGTTCTAGTCCCAGTCGGGGCGCCGGATTCTGTCCCGGTTGCCCCTCTTCCAGGCCAGCTCTCTGCTATGGCCAGGGAGTGCAGTGGAGGATGGCCCAGGTGCTTGGGCCCTGCACCCCATGGGAGACCAGGAAAAAGCACCTGGATCCTGGCTCCTGCCATCGGATCAGCGTGGTGCGCCGGCTGCAGCGGCGGCCATTGGAGGGTGAACCAACGGCAAAGGAAGACCTTTCTCTCTCTGTCTCTCTCACTGTCCACTCTGCCTGTCAAAAAAAAAAAAAAAAAAAAAAAAAAAAAAAAGGCAGGCTGAAATCCAAAAATGCCAGTGAGAAACTTGGTGTACTGACAACACCCAGAGCTCGGGGGACTGTCTGCGTGAAACTCGGTGTACTGACAACACCCAGAGCTCGGGGGACCGTCTGCGTGAAACTTAGTGTACTGGCAACACCTAGAGCTCGAGGACCGTCTGTGTGAAACTTAGTGTACTGGCAACACCCAGAGCTCGGGGGACTGTCTGCATGAAACTTAGTGTACTGACAACACCCAGAGCTCGGGGACTGTCTGTGGGAGATCAGTCAGGGAAGAAACAGCTGAGGGCTGTGACAGAGAAGCAGCCAGGGATCTGCTCATTCCGATTCGCATAGGTGGAGCGTTAATTTAATGAGGTCTCAAGGGGTTTCAAAGATCAGACGTGGAAGTCTCAGCTCTTTTCTAAGGACAGATAGAACAGAGTTTTCACAACACTTTAGTGACAAACATCAAGATAAAAGGAACACACGAAGACATTTCCTTAAAACAGCCTCTAGGGTCCGCCAATCCTGGTTTCAACTTCAAAGCAAAATGCAAGGCTGAAGGTAATTCGTCTTCCGGTTCCCCTGCACGAGCCACGCAGCCCCCTGAGCCGGACAGTGTGTTTTGTTGGCCATGGAGTCTGGAACGCAGGTCTAGGGGCTCGTGGAGCCCTTCCAAGATGAGCCTCTCATGAGGTCACCCCGCAGAGAAGGAGCTGCTAACGCAGGGAAAAGCAGGCACCGGCAAGACAAGGGAGACACACACACTTCTCACATGCCACCAACCCTGTGTTCAGGTTACAGCACGGGTTCTATCAGTACCAAGATCATCCTTGATCTTGGAGACACACTGCTTCCCCGTAGGCCTGGCGCTCTCATGGAAACAGCTGTCAGCCACCACAAGCCTGGCTGCGCTGGAGGCAGCAGTTCCGGGTGGTTCCTTCCTCCAGCTTCCCGCTTTGCTTTCGCTGATGTCCCTGAGGTGACAACGGTCGTAGCAGCAGGGATCACTTGCCCTCCCGTTCTCCTGCCCGCTCCCTACGCCTGGATCTGTCAGAGCCACTGATGTCGTTATGATAGATACTCATCACACGTACCTTTGTACCCAGCACTTCAGCTATCACACAGACTCAGAAGGTATGAGCGCCCTCTGCCAGGGGCCTGCGTCGTGAAGCAGCAGGTTAAACCCCTGCTCGCCGTGTCGGTGTTCCTCATCAGAAGGCGGGTGCTAGTACCAGCTGCGCTGCTCCCAATCCTGCTCCCATCCTGCTCCCTCAAACAAGCAGGGAAGGCAGCAGATGACGGCCCCAGTGTCTGGGCCTCTGCCATGCACGCAGGAGACTTGGAAGGAGCTCCAGGCTCCTGGCTTCAGGCTGGCCCAGCCCTGGCTCTTGTGGCCATTTGGGGAGTGAACCAGGGGATGGAAGATCTCTTTCCTACTGTCTCGCCCTGTCATTCTTTCAAGAAACAAACCCCTCTATTCCTGTCACCTGTGTCAACACCAGCCACGGCACTGCATTCCAACAGCACACTGAGTGCTTACATCTGATACCTCACAACCGTCTCCATCACATCAGCACTGCATGTAACACAGGTGGAAACCACAAGGGGCTGCGTCCTCTGAGAGTAACTGGGACAGCTCGTGCCACAAGGTGTGGCCTTGTGTGTCAGTACATTGATATACTGTGTCAAGTTGCACTGAAAATTTTACCTGTCAATCACAAATAAAGCCATGAACCTGAATTCTTCCCTTAACTCCCTTGGTCGAGGCTACTTTCCTTAGAAACCCAGCGAACAACATGCCTACAGAAAGGCAAGCTGACCAGAGGAGAGACTGGCTGCGTTTCCCTGCCCTAAGACCACTGTCGGCAAATGGATCACGAAGCACAGAAAAGAGCCCACGGTCACACAGGTCCGCAGCGGGCGGCAGTGACTGCGCCAGGTGGTATCAAGAGGAGACCACAGAACTGCAGCTCCGGGAGGTGAGGGAAGACCGTGCTTCTCCAGACTGGATGTTGCCTTTAACTCAGCCACGTAGCAGTCAGAGGACGCAAATGGCTAACGGACTGGCTTCCAGGACCCGGGGAAGAGTCGCCAGTTTGCCTGGAGAATGACACTGGAGGGTCTCAAGGCAGGAATTACTATCTGGAGTAAGGTTAGCAGGAAACTCCTGTTCTGCTACCACAGGGCAAGGACACCAACAGAAACTCACATTAGACACTTTGGGGTGCAGCACTCGTCCAAGTCGGTGACAGTTTATTTTAGAGAGGGGGTGGGGACACATCTGAAACTTTCTGTATCATATACTGCAGGAAAGATGATAAAGTTGCAAAAAAGTGTTGGTACCTTTGCAAATATTTATAAAGCTACATTAGTAAAAAAAAAATGAGAACTGCTGCTCTTGTCTCAGGTTCTGAGGTGTCAGTGATGTGGGAAAACCAATTTTTATGAGCGCCACTTAATCAGCGTTCAGGGGGCAGAGCCATGGCCTCCGGGATGCCTGTAAACCCACAGAAGGCCCCTTTGTAACAGATCACCTTACTTTAAAAAGTCACATTTTCTCTCCTGCTGCTGCCCAGTTTTCCTGGGCCAATTACTGGTCTTCCACCTTGCTTTAAGGCTATCGCTATGGATGTTCTGTGGTTCTAGAACGAACAAGTCAAAACGGAAGTGACTGCACATGCCCAGAGTCGTGGAGGTGGGCATTTTGAAGCTAAGTCTTATTTTGCTTCCCCCCAGTCATCGATTCCTGTCAGCCACCCCGGGTTCAGCAGTGCTTGCACACAGACCTCACCACACAGCGTCTTTCCTCCCTGGGAATGCCCACCTAGGGCATGGGCTGCTCCAGAGAAGCCTTGGGTCACATAAGGGTCCACCCAGATGCAGCTCCCGTGCGTCAGTTTTTATTTGAACCGCTGCTATTGGGAGAAGCTCAGCTTTCAGTCGTGGCTCTCATCTCGTTCTTGAATCATGCACTCTGACTCTATTTGGGACTAATGGTTACGCTCCCGATGACACTCACATTTTAACTGTGTATGGAGGCTCACGCTTTCTGCACGTTTCAATCCGAGGCGAGAGGGTATGGAAATGAACTGCATTCCCAGGAGTGCTAGGTGGCAACCCTGGGCTTCCGCCAGTGTGCAGAGCAGTGAGAGCCAGGAGGCTGGGGGCGGGGGGGAGCAGCACTCACAGGGCGGGTGCAGGTGCGCACCAGACAAGCCAGTTGCTCCTGTCTGGACACCGGGAGCTGCGGTCCTTCAGCGACAGAGGTGCGGCTGCTCTACCTCGCTCCCCCAGCATGGCAGCAAGGGATACAGTAGTCGTGGCATCAACTCCTCACTATGTCTCCTCCTTTCCTGCCACCACGCACATCTGCCACGCGTCACCCAATCACCTATCCGTCTACTGGGATGTTCATCGGCTATTTGGTAATAGTTGTTACACGCATACCATCAGCCAAATACATTCCAGGTATGAGGGATCAACACTGAGTAAAATCCACTCCCTGCCCTCAGGGAGCTCACGTTCTGTGGTAGGGAGAGGGATCAGCACCTTACTCTTCGACAGCAGAGCAAATGTCAGGAAGCAGAAATGAGGGTGTGTGAACAGAAGCCTGACCCAGACGAGGGGATTTGTTTAATTAATTGAAATTGACAGCTTCCTCACTACATGTTTTTGTACACAGCAGTGAGTTGCCTAGAGTCTTCTAAAAATGTAAGAGGAACAAAAAGCAGGGTGTCCTTTACCTAGTAAAAATAAGCTGCATAAGCAGGTTACAGTGAACACAACAAAGGAGTCGGCGTCAACTACGTCGGCCCCAGACAGAGTAAGGTTTGGGCTGACTGAGGTCCTGGCAGCCAGGAGCCCATCTCTGCGACAGTCAGGACTCTCCCAGCCGCCCTTCCTCACACTTTGTTCCTGTGTGTGTGGCAACCTCTA